TACCAGGTCTATTCTTTTCTAGTACTTATTTAGGAGAGTTTCTGTGTTTAATTAAATTCAAGACATTTAAGTTAGGAATGATCATTTAGCCCTTTATTCATTTTTTAATATCCATGGGAGTTGAATGAAAAAAATCTCATAGATAAAGCGTATAAATCTGTTCAACTTCCAGATGGACTAAGGTCCTTTGGAAATGGCCCATGAATTTCAGAGACATATAAAAACAAGCTAATTATGCACCAGATGTACACAGAAATGTGGATAGAGTATAAAACACTGTGCTGAATTTTTTACAAAAGAATAAGGTCTTGGTGCCATTCCATTTATGTCAACTAACCACACATGCATGTAAAGCACATGTTTTCCTTGGTCACACAAATAAAGGACCATCAGATGCATTGGAACACAGCAGGGAGAATGGGAGTATGGAATGAAATGAAAAGGCAATTAAGGAAAAAGCAATTTAAATCAGTCAAAAGAACTCTTATTCAGAGAAATGTCAATGTGTTATGCCTCTGAGATATGAAGAATATTGTTAATTAATTCCCCTTTGGCATAAAAGTGCCCCCCTCCAAAAAATCAACTCAGAGAAACTAAGATATCCTTAAAATTAACTAAATCTCAAAAAATTTATTTGACAGGATTTTGGAAAAATAATAAAATTGGCTCATTTTTCCAACCTATTAGTTGAATTTTTTTATTGGTGAAAACACCCATTGTTTTTACTAGTAAAATAACAAATATGAATGGTTTCATATGGTAGTGTTCTCAATCATACTGACTCAGTGCTCTCTCTTCAGATATTAGAAATGAAGAAATTTGGAGGGACAGAATTAAATTTATGCCATCAGGGAATGAAACCAATTTCAAAGCCAAATGAAGTAGAGATTTCTTTCTAGAAGATCATTTGAGAGATAAGTATAACAAGCTATAATACTGATATGAGAAACAAAGATATATAAAATCATCAGTTTAAACAAGAAAGAGAAATATGGTCCTTTTTATCAGTCTTAAGGAGAGAAATAGCATTTTTAATAGAACAGAGAAAGTATATAAATACAGTAATCTAATTCAGTTCTAGCCTTTCTTTTCAAATAAATATAGAAAATCAATCATCTGCCAAGTGTGGTGGCACATACTTGCAATCCCAGTGGCTGAGGAGGCTGAAGCAGGAGGAACACAGTACAGAGCCAGCCTTAGCAATTTAGTGAGGCCCTAGGTAATTTAGCAAGACCCTGACCCAAAATAAAAAAATAAAAAGGTCTGGGGATGTGGCTCAGTGATAAAGTGCCATGGGTTCAATTCCCAGTACCAAAATAAATAAATAAATAAATAGAGAGAGAGAGACAGAGAGAGAGAGAGAGAGAGAGAGAGAGAGAGAGAGAGAAGAAAATCAATCACCTTACATAAGTATAGATAAATAAGAACAGGTACTTGATTAATAATCTGTTTCAAAAAGGGAGAGAAGAATGAAGCACATAGTAACTACTAGATAAGCTGAACTTATGCTAAAAGGGAAATTTTAAGTCTTAGCTCTAGTAGGGAATTCAGAGATTAACTTGCCTAAACTCTCATTTTATTGATATGGTAGGATAAAAGCCAGAGTAAGGAAAATGAGTGATATACTTTTTTCATGTAAATGATTCCAACTTAGGTTATTTAGCAGGAAATGAGTCCCTTAAGTTCTGTAGTACTGCAGAACTGAGACTGTAAAGATACCCCATTCTGACATCAGTCAGCCCCTCTTTGTCTAACACTAGTCTTCCAGCAGCCAAAAGCTTAGCAATCCAAGATTTCTCCCTTTATTTTCAATATTCTTTTATAGAATAAAAGAAAGGCAGCACTAGGCAAATATTAAGTATGGCAAATTTAAATACTTCCATAAACAGATAAAGTAGCCTATTGGCATAAGATTGACTCCAGTCCCTAAGGATTCAGAGGCTCTATGAGCAGGGTTGTTCAGAGTTCCATATATGAGAACAAAATATCTGAAGCAATGCAGGTCTCAGATAGCACTCGATTCTAATGTGCCAATTTTGATACTATTTCCATTTTACACAGCCAGTAACAACCATTCTTATGTTCCTATAAATTACTATAGATGACTTACTCCACTTCCCCTATTCTTCTTTAAAGAATGAAGGACATTCTGTCCCATCATGACCTTTTGGTGCTGAGTGAAAATAGTAGAGGTGGGCAATCTATATCTTACACAATCAAGTACAAGAAAAAGGTGACCTTTGACCTTCTCACCTCTGCTTGGACTTACAGGGCCATAATTTACTCAGAGACAATGGGTTTATCCTTTAAGTGCTGAACTCTCAGTAGTTCAGATCTTTAAATCACACTTTGAACACATAAAATAATGCATAGAAGACAAGTAGTTGGAAACTACTAGCCTTGACAAAAAAAAAATATATATATATATATGTATATATATATATATATATATATATGCCAAAAACTAAACTAAAACTTGCAAAAAAAGGAAATCCTAAATACAAAACACTTTCAAATTATCTAATTTTTTTGTTGTTGTTGTTCCTTTCKTATCAGTTCTGTCTCTCCACTTTTACTTTTCTGGGAAGGAATATTACTTCTTGATCTTAAATGGCTCTTAGCTAGGAATAAAGGACAAAAATGAGCCAGCCATATCAAAACCCCTGGTCACTTCAAACAGTGAGAAGATTTAGGAAGTATAGTCTAGGACAAAAGAAGATTTATTGTGACAAATATTTAATAGAATATGCTGAAACAATGTCAAATTTATAAATTTAAGACAGTTCAGAAAATTTCACATTTTTTTTCAGTCATCTATTTAAAATATGTCTTCTTTGTTCCCCAAAGATATTCATTTACTCTCTTCTGCTATCAGTAGTATTTCATTGTGAAAGTCCAAGAAGTAGGAAAACAGAAAACCAAAGCCAACACCAACCTAAACCTAGTGTAGTAGCTATGAGTTCTGGTCCTAGATATACTCCTTACTTACCTGTGCGAGCCCCAACAGGCTACTCTTTTCTCACTTCCTCACCTGAAGACTGAGATCATCACTTATGATTTTTTATACCTCTTAAACTATAAGTTCCTGTCAAATGCAAGGTGTAAGCAATATTGTATTTATGATGTAAATGGCTTAATCTGTTATAAATGATAATAGAAGTCTTGAAACAAATGTACTTATACTTTAGAAAGTGAGGTCTCTCTCTCACACGTTAAATGTTTCTTCCTTCTGTTGCACTAAAAGGGATATATGGGATTGGTGGAATGGCACATAATTTTCTGTAATATCACAGAATGGAAAAAGCTAATGGTGAGTTATTAGAAGTTAAATTCACAAGGAGATAGAAAAGAAGATACAAATTACTCTTAATCCCTTGAGAAGAAAAAACAATGGTCCTAGGAATTTCTTCCTGATTGTTCTTGGAGTAGCCAAGACCAAAACACAACAATTTGGTCCTCCACAGCTGTGCTGTTTTAGCAACCAAAATAATTTTCTGGCTCACTGTCCTTATCAAACTCTAAAAAATAAAGCTGCCCACTGAAAAGTAGGAAAATCTGGGATGGAGATAAGTAATAGACTCCAATTGCCAAATCCAAAGATCACCAGATACATGCAAGAGAAAAACAAATCAAAACAAGTATTTCAGATTAGTAAAGAGTAATTCTCTATTTTAAGCTCAGTGACAAATGCTACTTTATTTATTTATACATTTTTTTGACAAATCCAACTATGTGTGCAAAAAGTAGAATTAACAGCTAAAAAGGAAGTACATTTTAAATGTGCTCTGCCAAGGGTACTCAGCTCAGGAGCTTTCTTTTCCAATAGCAACAGCATGTCATTGACCAAAGTGAAGTTGTATTTGAAAAAAAAATAAAAGCATTTGGCAAGTCTATGAAATAGAGTTGGTCAAACTAATTCTCAAGATAAGGACCCTACAAATGGTTATAACATATGATCTATATTTTAGTTAATCTCAGACAATAAGATCACTATCAGAGTTTGTCTTAGGTTTTTTTAGCTCTTGAGATACAAGTATTATTTTTGTTGCAAATAAATTAATGTACTAATAACAGTTTTTTGAAACAGAGACAATTACAGAGATTAGAAATGGACATTTATCTCTTCTTATCAGAAGACAAGTACAAGTTTAATTAAAAGTTTAGAAGAGGGCTGGGGATGTGGCTCAAGTGGTAACACGCTCCCCTGGCATACATGGGGTGCTGGGTTCGATCCCCAGCACCACATAAAAATAAAATAAATATTAAAAAATTCTCTCTCTTAAGAAAAAAAGTTTAGAAGAAATATCTATTTAAATTAAATCAACAAAAAGAAAAAGATTACTACTTTCTGATTTACTTTCTGAGAAAGTAAATTGATTTTTTTCTTTGATTTCCTTATAATTTGATATGAAGTGCAGCTATAAAACCTTTAAATAAATCTTTAAAATAAGTGATACTATGCAGCAATATGTGGTTTAGTCTTTAATAAGCCATTTCTGTTATTTTACTGGCATTTTACAATGACAGTTCATGTCTGAGTCACAGACTGTTCTTACCTTGTCTCTCTGGGAAAGTACATGTATTGTCAGAAATCCCCACTCAGTGGAAGATAAACTGGGTTCCCATGTCATTGACACTAATAAACTCTGTGATCTTTAACCTTTTATTAGTATTACTATTAACATGTATTAATTGTATAAATCAATGGGACTCACTGTGATATTTCCATACATGCTTACAATGTGTGATTATCACATCCATTCACTCTTAACCTATCTTGATCTCACACAGTGGTATCCACATTCCTCAGTTTTTCTTGGTCAGCCTCTAAGTTTTGTTTGGTGTGTACCTGACGGCACAAACTCCCTCTAAGAGTCTTCAGCCCATAAGTGGCAATCTCCAAACAAGAGATTCATTAAGGACCTCACCAAATCTAAGACTTTATTATCTAGGGTTGGAGCAAGGAAGAGGAATGAAGGGAAGACACAAGTGCTACTTACTTTTCAAAGAAATGTCTGATGATCAGCAAAAGAAAAGCATATGGGATTGTCATATACAAATGAGAAGGTTTGACAAAGACGAGTCCATCATGATCTTCAAGATCTGACCACTGTATCGTTGGAGGAAGCCAGAACCGTTCTAGCCAGAACCATTCCTTAAATGTCTGAAACATTCTGCACAAGTAAAAGGAATACATTAGACTGTCAAATCAACACTTAAGACAACATTGAGCACCTTCACTCAACATATCCAAACCAGACTAATTTTGAAAATAAAGCAAAAATAGAATACTACTACTATAACATCATTATCATCATCATCATCATCATCATCATCATCATCACAGTACTGGGAATCTATCCAGGGGCATTTTATCACTGAGCTACATTACTAGCCCTTTTATTTTAATTTTTTGTAGTTGTAGATGGACAGCATGCCTTTATTTTATTTGTTTCATTTTTATTTAGTGCTAAGGATTGAACCCAGTGCCTCACACATGCTAGGCAAGCTCTCTGCCTCTGAGCTACAACCCTAGCCCCTATTTTTTGAGACAGAGTTTCACTAAGTTGCCAGGCTGGTCTCCAACTTGCAACCCTCCTGCCTCAGCCTCCTCAGCCTCCTCAGTCTCTACGTTTACAGGTGTGCATCACTGTACCCAGCCTGGATTATTATTACTTAATGGGCTTCATGACCCCTCACTGCATTATACAAGAATTAATCTTTTAATACTCACAGAACAATTTGGCTATGGCGTGGAAGTTTAACATATTACAGTCACTTTGAGTAGCACACATGTGAATATTATGGGTATTTATTTTCCTGTTATACGCACCTAAGATATTAAATTTTTTTAATTTTAGATTTTCTATGACTTCAAATGCCAAAAGTCAAGCACCTGAAAGCTCCAAGTATGTATAAGTCTTCACTTATACCCTAAAAAAATTCCTAGAAGAAATATTACAAGGAATTCAAATTAGCACATGTCATCAACTATTTATGGAGACTATTACTTATGAAGCACTATGCTAGGCACTGAGGTCACAAAGATGAATAAGACAAGGTTCCTGCCTTGAGGACTGAAAAGCCTTGTAAGCAAGACAGACATTAACAGGTGACTACAACATACTTTTTTTAGGTACAATAAAAAAAGTATTTACAAGGGTAACCCAGAGTGCTATAGGAAGAAGATGGTGGGCACTGAACCCGGCCAGGCTATGTCATGGAAAGATAACTGAAACAGATGGTCCTTGAGATGTCTTGAATAAGAAGAGGAAATAAACCAGGAAAAGTATGAAAGCTAGGAATGAGGGAGTAGAATACTTAAGAAAGAACTATGATCAAGTACAGAATAACATAGAATTAGATTCTGTAGAAAAAAAAATTGTGGTTTTCCTCTGTTCTCACACCAAAACAGTCAACACAGAAGACTTCTGTGACCCCAGAAGGCAGAGACGTTTCTCCTGCCAGCAAGCAAGCAGCTCTGCAGCAGTGGGCCTTACTGGTTGTCCTCCAATTAAATTCTATTTTGAAATTACCTACCTGAAGATAATGTCAGACCTCATAGCTTGAGAACTCAGTCCCAAGACTGTCATCCTGCCCCCACTGTAGATGCCAACCTGAAAGCCCAGGGTGTTTTATGTGTGCTTCTGGCAACTGGCTATACATGGTGATTCCCACACCCCCCTCCTTGGGTTCCATTAATTTGCCAGAGAGCCTCACAGGACTCAGGAAACACATATGTACATTTCCTGGTTTATTATCAAGGATGCTGATCTAGATGCTTTGGGAAGGGCGATGGGAAGGTATGCAGAGCTTCCATGCCCTGTCTGGATGTACCACCCTCCAGAAAGTTCCACATATTCAGTGTCTGGAGGCTCTCTAAACCCCATCCTTTTGGAGGTTTTATGGAGACTTCATTATGTAGGCATGAAGGAGTAGATCACTGGCCTCTAGTGATGGATTTAACCATCACTCTCCACCTTCCCTGAAGGTTGTAGGGGATGGGCTCTTTCCTGGGCCCATCCTATCCTGAGGCTGCCCTCAGTGAACTCATAAGCATACAAAAAGATACTAACACTTCAGAGACTCCAAGATATTTTAGGAATATGCCAGGAAATGGGGATGAAGACCAGATATAAAATTCACAATATCCCTTCGCAGTTTTAACCTCATTGTTTAGGCTGTGACCATTTTGATCTTGGCTTATAATGCTTATGTAGGGGTTACTACTATAAATATGTGCAAACAGTGAATCAAGATGTGTTAAAAGCCATTATAACTGTAACACACAACAGCCAAAAACCATTTAAAAGGAGACAGAAAGAAGACAAAAGTTGAGGACAGCCCCCTGGAAAATGTAGTTCAAACCAAGAATAAATCAATAAATAAATTATTCACTCTTCCCTCATGTGCTGTCACCAAACATCAATTATTGCAGCTTTGAGAGTGTTAAGAACTCCTTCTTTTACATCACACACAAAAATTAACTAGAAATGAAGCAAGACCTAAATAAAAAGTCTTAAGTTATAAATATCTTAGAAGAAAAATACAGGAATAAATCTCAGCGACCTTGGCATAGGCAAAGCATTCTTCCATATGACACAAAACCCTAAGCAACAAATGAAAAAATAGATCATGCCATCAAAATTGAAACTTTTCATTTCAATGAATATCATCAAGAAAATAAAAAGACAACCCACATGATGGGAGGAAATAGTTGAAAAGCACACAACTGATAAGGCATTTGTATTTAAAATACGTAATCCTTACAAATCAATAATAAAGAGACAATTACCAATTTAAAAGTAGGCAAAGGATCTGAACTGACATTTCACCAAAAAGGATACACAAATGGCCAATAAGCACAAGGAGGAATGCTCAGCATTACTAGTCACAGGAGAAATGCAAATCAAAACTGCACCCAAAGACACCCTTCACACCCACTAGAGGTTATAATGAAAAGATAACAAGTGTTGGTGGGATATGCAGAAACTGGAACACTCAGACACTGCTGATAGGAATGCAAAATGGTGCCGCTGCTCCTGTGGAAAACTGCCTGGCAGTTCCTGGAGATATTAAATACACAGTTACTATATGACCTAGCAATTCTATTGCTAGTACTACTCAAGAAAATTGAAAGGATTAAGGTTACAATTTGTATTATTCTTGAAAATTTTATGCTGCCAACAAGCTAGGCACGGTGGCACATGCCTGTCATCACAGTGGCCGGGGAGGCTGAGGCAGGAGGATTGCAAGTGCAAAGTCAGCCTCAGAAATTTGGTGAGGCCCTAAGCAACTTAGTGAGACGATATCTCAAAATAAAAAGAGTTGGGGATGTGGCTCAGTGGTTAAGTGCTCCCTGAGTTCCATCCCTGGTACCATTCAAGAGAGAGAGAGTCCAGAAACAAAAGGCTCAGATTGTATAATATATTATATGTGAAATGTTTAGAATAGGAAAATCCATAAAGATAGAAAGTAGGTTARAAGTAGATTAGATATTCCTAAGGATGGGTGAGAGGGGTGTGATTGGAAATGAATGGGAAGTGACTTTATAATAGAATTAGAAGCTGCTTTTGGTAGAAACACTGACTCTTAATTTGGGCCTGCAGATACCCAATGGGTAACTAAAAGCAGGATAAAGCTTGACATCTCTGCCTTTATTTTGTATCTGTCTCTTTTATTACCTTAATGTTTGGATCATATTTCCACTCAATTTTGTACATTGGCATATCTTGATAAATCATCTGTTTATCTTAAGCTGGTAATCCACACCTTCAAAGCTCAAGAAAACCAAGATAAGAGTATTTTCAAGATTTGCAGGTGAGATAGGAATTTGGGAATTAAGGAAAAGATACTGAGTCTCAAAGGAAGTGCCTGTAAACCACTGAAGTGCAGAAAGCACCCACAAACAATTGCCACACCTGAGCAACATGCCCTTGGTCCATACCATTGAACTGCATCCTTGACCCAAATCCTTGCAACATGAGGGCAGTGCACAGCACAGGGAAAACTAGCAGGAATTATATAATTCTACCCTGGGTCCATTTCAAATCCAGCCCCTAGCACCAGTCATCTATAAATATTAACACCAAGGGATTGCGGTGTCTTCCTCTACAGAGAGCCCACATTTGCCTTTGAGTGGGTATTCCTTGCTTACCCTAAAGGCATTTCTGTCCCAGTCTTTGAATATGTATCTACTTTCCTAAATAAACCTGTCTATCCCTTTGGCTTGTGCTGTATTTTTCTGTCACATATTGCCAAGAACTCCACTGGTCCTGAGTCAAGGTCCCCTTCTCTCTGGGAACTCCTTGTACCTTTCTTCAGAGATTTTTTTTTCTCCCATGACCCAGAGACATTCAACTTGCAGCTTTTATAATGCACACTCGAAGACTGATGTACACCTAGATATCTCCAGCCATTGCCCTACTCCTTTCAGGAACAGCAGAACCTTGAAGGCAAATCAACCCAGGAAGAGACTGCCCTCCTAGCAAGAACAATCACCTCATGATGAGCCAGGAATTTAGGGATACACAGAGAACACCCAATTTCAAAAGAGAGATACCCATAAATCATGGGAACACAGAAACAACTCCTGAGCAACCCACTCTGTGTTACTTCCCTGCCTTGTTCTTATCTGCAGTTTCCTGATTGGCTAATGAAAAAGCAAACCTGCAGGACAATCACAAGATATCTGGAGGAAACACTCCTGTACGGAGCGTGTGCATTAAAGACTTTGGTGAGTGAGAAACGACCCTAGCCTCATTTACAACAGTAAGATGCACACCACCCTGGATGGAGATTGAAGACGCTAGCCAGACATGTGATGTATCATGATTAGAACATAAAAGGGCAATGTGCAAGCACAAGGAAAAACTGGCACGAACTTGCATAACTCTGTCCTGACTCAACCTCTAGTTCAGCCCCCCCCCCCCCTAGTTGCTGTTCTCTTCCAGGATCACAGGTGTGGAGGTAAGCATCCTGAACAGGAAGTGGAGACTGTCCCCTCAGGCAATGACTTCTCCAGAGCCACCTTGCAGAACTAGAACTGATATAACAATCAACCAGACCACCATTTGACCAATTATGCATGCCTCTCATCCTTTGCCCCAATTCTTCCTCTATTTAAACCTAAAGCTCATGTCAGTACCCCAAAAGCAGGGCTGAGATGTTTGA